AATGTCTCGAACCCAGAAGCCCATCCTGCTGGGGCCGGGCCCTCGGCACCACCTCTATCTTCCCTTCTCCCAGCAGCTCTCAGCCTCTCTCCTGTGTTACCTGGTCTGGTTCCTTCCTCCAGGGCAGGTCTCACCTTGCGGGGCAGAGGCGAGGTCCCCCGCCTTCCAGCCTCCTGAGATGGTGGCATTGCAAGAGGCCCAGCTCCGCCCCCCCCACCCCCCAACCACCACCGCCTGGCTCTCCACTGCCTCCCCACTGCCGGGGCCTGAGGACTGACGGAGAAAGAGGTGAAGATGAAAAGCTGATACACCCCGCAGGAAATCATTGTTTAGCCAAATCCAGGACCGAAGAAAAACAAGTGTAACATTGGAGAAAGCAGAGCAAGGTGCCATTCAAGGCCATTGTCAGGGCCTCCTCGATGTGCAAGGGGGAAACAATGGGGCCCTGTGTGTGCGAGGACAATGCTGTGTGTTATCAGCCGCTTCTGTGTCACTCCTGGGGACGGAAGGATGAGAAACAGGGTCGGATGCCTCTGGAATTCACGAATCAGAGCCACCAGACCAGTGGGAGCCCGTGGTGTTCTGTAACGGGGACAGGCACGCCTGCTCAGGAATGCCCGCACCCTCTCCTCTTCTGTAAGCACCTTCCAGAGACTCGCCTCGAGTCAGAGCTGAAAAGAACCACAAATATCACCTCTCCAAACACGCATATCCTCTGCTCCAAATCTTGGCTTGAGTGAGGGGGCACCTGGCTGGAACCACTGCCCAGCCACACAGCCTAGGCGTCGCCGTTGGCAAGGCCAGAGGAGCCATCATGCGGTGGCATCCATGGGAACCCCACAGCTCGCAGCATGACCTCACGTGCTCCCACCTTCGATCCTGCCTCTGCCACTAATTACCCCTAGATGGTGAGTGAGGTTCCCCCTGACCATTGGTTTTCCTGCCTGAAAACTGGGGTTCTTTTGGAGTTATTGCCAGGATTATACGAGTGAATACGTGTAAAACTCTTAGAACAGAAATCACTCGGGAAGTATGAACGGCAACTTAGATGCCCACATTGCCCCGACAACTTGCTTAGATCCATGAAGAGATGGATGGAAACCCAGGGTCCCAAATACCCAAACTCAGCCGGGCCACCCGCTATGGCCATGCCTACCCCATCGGGTCCCCGAGGGGAGGTGGCCCTGACAAATACTCCCAGGGATGAGGAGGGTGACAAATGCATGGTGAGGGTCAGCTGTGACACACCGAGGGTGGTGGGGACGGTGGCGGTTCCGAGAGCCCACGCCAGTCTTCAGGGGCAGCCGGGATGCAGTTCCTGCCAGTGGCTGCCCTGTGGAAAGGTGGGAACAGCATGGCCGGTCACATATTATGAAAGAGCCAGAAATGTGGGTTTTTACGTCAGATCTCCCCATTTCTAGACACTGTGTTTCTAAAGACATTGTCACTGCGGAGTTAGCTCCAAATCACGTGGCTTGTGATGCCCGATCTGGACACAGATGACATTCCCATCCAGGGCACGCCTGTCATGATCAGTCCTTCTGTCCCCAGTTTGCCTGTAGTCTACTGGTGAGCGGGTCAGGTGACTTCAAAGCCACTCCTTGGCTTGGAGCAGAGGACCAAAGAGACTGAGCTGCCCCTCCCCCTGGACACCACCCTCACCTCAGTCCATGACAAGGGGGTGACGAAAAGGGAAACCAGGGAAATGAGGGGGGCTCACCCTAAAGGACCCCAGGCCCGGTGGCTTAATCCACCCCATGCAGGTGTTTCTCTGATAAAGAAGGCAGTCAGGCCCTGGCCAGTGTGGCTCAGTGGTGAGAGCATTGACCCGTGCACCCAAGGGTTGTGGGTTCAATTCATGTTCAAAGGCATGTACCTGGGTTGCAGGTTCGATCCCTGGCCCCCATGCTAGAGGCAACCAATCGATGTGTCTCTCTCACAAGGATGTCTCTCTGTCTCTCTCTCTCTCTCTCTCTCTCTCTCTCTCGCTCTCGCTCTCGCTCTCTTTCTCTCCTCCCTCCTCCCTCCCTCCCACTCTGAAAAATCAATGGAAAAAATAACCTCAGGTGAGGATGAACAAAAACAAAAAAAAGAAGTCAGAACTCAGTGTAGGACCGAAGTAAGACTGGGGACTGAGCCCCCAGAGTCTTCAGTCTGAGAGGTGAAATGTGCTTCTACGCAGGTGCAACTAACTCCCAAGCAAGATTGCTCTCCATGCGATGCCGCTTCACAGCCCTGGGTGGCTGTGATCTGAAAGGCCTCCTAATAAGAGCTGGTGAGGAGTGGGGGAACCGGAATCTCCTACATGGCTGACGGGGTACAAAGTGGCGCAGCCGCTCTGGGAAACGGTCCGGCAGCTCCTCGCAAAGTTAAACAGAGTTACCATGTGGCCTGACAATGTCTCTCCCGGATATACTAGTATATCCCCCAAGAGAGATGAAAACATAAATCCACACGAAAACTCATGCAAGAGTGTTCCCAGCGGCATTATTCACCATAGCCAGGAGGTGAAAACAATCCAAACACCCACCCATGGATGAATGGATAAACAGAATGTGCTTTATCATACAATGGAATTATTTAGCAATCAAAAGGAATGAAGTAGCCCGGCCAGCGTGGCTCAGTGGTTGAACACTGAGCTATGAACCAGGAGGTCGTGGTTTGATTCCCAGTCAGGGCACATGCCCAGATTGCGGGCTCAATCCTCAGTGTGGGGCATGCAGGAGGCAGCCGATCAATGATTTTCTCTCATCATTAATGTTTCTATTTCTCTTTCCCTCTCTCTTCCTCTTTGAACATGGATGGACCTCAAAAATACTGGAATAAGAGGGGGGGAAAAACAGTAAAAAGACCACATATCAGATTATTCCATTTATATAAAATGTCCAGAATAGACAAATCTATAGAGTCAGAAAGTAGGTTAGTGGTTGCCTAGGGCTGAGTGTGATGGAGAGTTTTGGGGGGTTGGTGACTAAAGGGCATGGTGTTCTTTTGGGGGTGGTCATTATGTTCTCAAATGGACTGTGGTGATGGTTACATAACTCTGTAAGTAACTAAAATCCATTGAACTGTACACTTCAGTGGGTAAATTGTATATGTGAATTATACCACAATAAAGCTATTACCAAAAAAAGAAACCCAAACTATGATTGTGACCCTTAATTGCCTTCAATTAAAAAAGTTTTGCATCCATATCGCTTTGTTCACATCAGCCCCACGCCTACCCCATGAGGCCCCCGAGGGAAGAAGGAAAGGGCTCTGAAAGGACGCTTTCCCCAGGGGATCAGACCTCAAACCAGGTGACCCGCTGGCCTGCTTTACCCAATGCTGTCCCAGTGTTAGCACTGAAAGCCCGTGTCCCAAGAAACCCTTTATCCCTGGGAAAACTGAGATGGTCGGTCACCCTCGGGCAAACCCATTCCCATAGCACAGGAAAGCTCTGCCCTTTAAGGCTGCCAGTGGCGAGGACAGATGAACAATTCTCCCGCTTTGGGGTATAAGTCATCCCTAAGCTCCTCCTAACAGTCAAAAGATAATCTCGTTCCTGCTGTTCCCATTTTACAGATGAGGAAACTGAGGTTCAGAGAGATGAAGTAACTTGCCAAACGGCCAGATGCCCAGGAACACCCTTAAATTGTGTTGCCCCCCAAGAATTTGTTCAAAGTATGGTTAATAAGATGTAGAGTTGGGATTCAAACTGAGATCGAATTCTAAAGTCCCTCTGCTTTATTGCCTCCTTGTATCAGTTATTATTGTTTTGTAAAAAAGTTATCTCAAAATTCAGTAACTTAAAACAATAAACACTTATAATCATACTGTTTTTGAAGGTCAGATATCCAGGAGTGGCTTAGCTGGATGTCTCAGCCCCAGAATCCCTCATGAGGTTATAGTCAAGATGTTGGCCAAGATAACTGTCGTCTCAAAGCTCTGCCAGGACTGGAGAACCTGCTCTTAAACTCAGGAATGAGGCTGTGGGCAGGCCTTGGTTTCTTGCAGGCTATTGGCTGGAGGCTCCAGTTTTTTTGTCCCATGGATCTCTCCAGGAGACTGCTCACACATGGCAGCTTGCTTTCCCTAGAGCAAGAGATTCGAGAAAAAGGGAGGAGGCAAACGAGAGAGCATCAAGGAACTGCGGTCTTTTATAACTAATCTCAGCAGTGACACGCCATCACCTCTGCCATCTGCTGTGAGTCACACAGACCAATCCTGGTGCAACGTGGAGAGGACTACACAAGGGTGTGAAAACAGGGAGGCAAGGGTCATTGGGGGCCACTTTGAAGGCTGGTGACCACGCTGCTCACCTTTCTAGAGCCAGACAAGAAGGCACAGTGCTGCAGATAATAAGGCAATGTCCCCACCAAAAAAGTCACAGAAATTAATCTAAAAAGTCACAAAATTCATTTTGATATTATTTATTTAACAAACATTCCATTCATTCGATTTCCTTCTTACTCCCCTCTTCCTACGGCTTCTTCACCAGCTCTTCAGCACTAGGTCTACAGGAAAGTCACTAAAACCCTAAGTGAATCAGGTTCCCCATCTGGATAACGCAAATAATACCAGCTCCTATCTATCTCCCACAGAAGGAAGCTAAACACGTGAAAGCAATTATGCATTCTTGGAGCTAGGGGAGAGGGGTGAGTTCCAAGAATTCCGATAATGCACAGCCACACTGTATTTCCACCCAGCCAGGTAGCTGGTCACTGCTTTCCACGGCGTGTGCCATACAGGCGCATTCCTCAAAGCAGCCAGCCTACCCACTTGGGTCAAGGAAAATCAGAGTTTCCCTTGATCTCGTAACTAAACAAGCCCAGTCATTTCCTCCTCTGAAAACCCCCGCCCGCGTCCTCCCAACCCCATCGCCCTCCCGTCGCCTGGCGGACCTAGCCAGTCACCGTGCCCTTCTGGGCTCCTCCCCATCCCGCAGTGCCCCCCGCCGGGCAGTTTCCGCCACCTCGAAGGACTACAGTCCCCGGCATGCCCCGCGGCGGCCGAGAGGACACGTGACCGCGCCTCTCCCCCGTGAGGCGGTCACATGACTAGGGGGAAATGGCTGCGTTGACGGCGGACAACTTTGGGGCGCTCCAGAGCCTGTTGAAGGTAAATGGAGGGGTGGGGACAGCCCGAGGCGCCCTTTGTCCCCGGGATTTTAGCCGGAGTAGGAATTGGGAATAAAGGGCCCCTTGATTTGGAGTCAGAACTCTGGTACTACCTCTCTGTGGCCCGGGGAAGTCGTTGCGCGCTTCCGAGCCGTTTAAGAGAAGGAATAAAATGTATACCGCCCTAACCATGGTGGGGAACACCTAAGGTAACGGTTGTGAAGGCGCCGTACAGATGCCTCCTGCTGCAGCCTCTGGGGCTGGCTTTGGCGATGGTGCATTAGGGGTAATTCCAGGCCGCGTGGCCAGTTGAGGCCGCACCCAGCAGCCCGTCGGGCGGGTGGTGGAGAAATGGTCTCTGCGCGCCAGCCCCTCAGTCAAGTGCGTTCTTCGTGCTCCGAGTCCAGGGTTTTCTGTACTTCCTCGGACCCATGTAAGGGCCAAAAAAATCGATAATCGTTTGAAGGATTGTGAGGTTGAAAGGGTCGTACTTCATAGAGCTTGGAAGGATCTAATGAGATGATGGAGTTATTTGCCTAACTTCTGACTTCTTCTATAGGAAGGGGCGGCTTTATCTTCCTTCGCAGTTCTTGTCACTAGTGGACCTTATGCGTCTGTTTGTCGTCTTTCTTCCTCACAAGAATGTAAGATCCATGAGGGACTTTTTAAAAAACAACCCACCAGACAAAGAGGATTGAATTAGCAATACTCAGCATTTGTGTGCAGCACACGTTCATCATTCATGGCACAACATCATTGATTCATGCAACGGTCCCTCTGTTGTTTTAACCACCTCCCCAGTGTTCTGTCCTATTCTCCGTCCCTAAAGGCATCTATTTTATTCACAAATGTGTCGCCAACAAGTGTACCCCCCCAACACCTGGCACACAGCATGTGCTTAATAAATAGCTGTTGGATGCATTAATGAAGGAGGTAATAAAGCTGGGACTGGAAACCTAAAGCTCTTTGCTCACTCTCATTGTGCCTCACCCCCTCCCCCCTTCTCTCCCCGCACACCTATTGGAGGTATGGACTTTCAAGGTCAGCCTCTACTGATACCTCTGGGTGATGGGACTTGTGACTGCCTGGCAGGGAGCTCCCCACTCAGCCCCAGCCTCCTGCTTGGCCTTCTGACACCACAGCAGCAGGGATGTTGGGACACCTTGTTACAGCTTCCCAAGGTGGAAGTCTAGGCTTCCCACTCGGCCTTTGCTGACCTGGGTAAGGTTGGGGCCACAGTTCTTTCCGTGGTGTTTGGCTGGAGTAGAGCAGTATTGTCTAAGGTTTTCGGTTTTGCTAGGCTGCCCCTTCTTGGTCTATTGGCTAGAGAGAGCAGGAATTTGTTGGAGCTTTTTGCTTCCTGCACCCACTGGCATCCTCCATTGCCCTCTTCTTCAGCTCAAAGTCTGGGATGTATGAACAAAAAGAAAACCCAGGAACTCACCACCCTGTCATTCCTTGGTCATGAGGTCCACAGCAGGTCTGTCTTCTCTCCCTCTTTCAGAGTCGTCTTAGGTTTGTTTTCTTTATAGTCCCCAGGATTGCTGGTTGTACCTAATGGGAAGAAGAAGGAAAAGTACTTCTAATCCATCTTCCCTATGTGCATTCTGTTCTAAAACATGTATTTTCGGTGACTTAATTTGTTTTCCATCGGTGGATTAATTTCCTAGGCTTCCTCAAAAGATGTTGTCAGACAGCTGTGCCAAGAGAGCTTCTCCAGCTCAGCCCTCGGCTCGAAAGAACTCTTGGATATCACGTGTTCCAGCTTGTCTGTGACCCAGGAGGAGGCAGAGCAAGTAAGTGTGCCCAGAAATGACCTTTGACCATCCGACTCTCAACTCATCAGTCTCTTTCTTGATCCCCTGCAGTCATTGCTGCGTCCAAGGAAATGTTCCCCTTAAATGTCTGTTGACATTAAAGCAAACTTAAAATAGATTATTTTTTAGTGTCAGTGAACTGAACACCTTTGTTTTGAACCTTTATTTCCTTGTTGTAAATGAGGCATGGCTGGGAGAACTTACCAGAATCAGAGCTCCTGACCGTTTCTTTTTCTGACTTGTTGCCTAAACAGTGTGGCCACAAGACAACCTTTTGAAGACTTTTCTTTCCCGACCTGTAACTTGCTGACGTTCATTAATTGTCGGATACTTAGGCGGACTTTTCAGGGATCTCTGGGCAGAAACCGCGAGGCCCAAGCACTGTTAGGGAGGATGTGCGCCGGCCGGACCTCGCCTCAGCTCAGCTGATGGCCAAGAGGAAGGGGAAAGGGACTCCTGGTATGGAGCGCTCACAGCCTTATTTTTCCAGGGAAACAGTTTTCTAACACAGGAGGTCACCCAAACTGGCCCATGTTGTTGTTGTTATTTCAGTCTGGAGCTTTGTTCACTGAAGTTGGCACATGGGCGTTGGCACTTGTAGCAGAGGCCTCGGGGCCGGTGGGACTCTGTTGAATGACCAGCAATGTGTGGCAGGCGGGGGGTAGAGCCCTGCCCCCTGTCCCCTGTCCCCCGTCCCCACCCCCATCTCCTGGCTCACTTCTCCTCACCGCCTGCCCGGGGCTCCCCGTCTCTCCTGCAGCTGCTCCAGGCCCTGCACCGCCTCACCAGGCTGGCGGCGTTCCGGGACCTGTCCTCCGCCGAGGCCGTGCTGGCTCTCTTTCCTGCCAATTTCCACCAGAACCTCAAAAACCTGCTGACCAAAATCATCCTAGAAAACATGTGAGTGCCCGTTTCTCGAGAGTTCCTTGTAAGGTTTATATTTGTTCTTCCTGTTCTAGAAGTAATACGTTCATTCTTGAAAAGCACACATAGTGAGCAAAAAAAAAAAACCCTAATCCCCCCCCCCCCCCCCCCCAGGGTTGGCAGTGTGCATTCCTTAGCGGGAGCCTCTCGGGGCGTGTTTATGTTTTGCAGAGAGGTGGGCATGTCTGTTTTTAACCCAGTGGGATGACGCCCCTTTATAACGAGTTGGTTTGCAATGAACAGTATTAATGTTAACGATATTTCAGGTCCATACATATTTACCTTCAGTAACATTTTTAGTGGCTAAACATATTCCGTTGTATAAAGAAATTCTGTGTAATTCAGTTAAGAGAGTCCCAAGGGTTAGACATTTATGCTGTTGGCCATTTTCACTTCAGTGAACAATTTATCATAGAAACTTGCTTCACTTACTTTCTTACTGGGCTAAAGGCAATGGGTGGCCCTGGTCAGTGTGGCTCGGTTGGGCGTCGTCCTGTGCACCAAAAGGTTGCTGGTTCCATTCCCAGTCGGCACATGCTGGTCGTGGGCTCCACCTCCGGTAGCAGGCATGCAGGAGGCAACCGATAGATGTTTCTCTCTTGCATCAATATTTCTCTCTCTCTCAAATCAATATTAAAAAAAAGAGACTAGGCTAACCTTTTCTCTGCTTGTTTGAGAACGATGGCCAAGAAGATTGCAATGCATTGAGCCTTTTCCTTTTTGTAAGTTGTGAAAACGAACAGCACTTTGTCCTTAAAGTCACTGAGCTTTACAAACAAACACACAAACGACTGCTCACTGGAGTGAGGTGTTTCTGTGGGCCTTTCCTGTCAGGAGGTGATCACAGGTTTGGGGGTCACAGGGCGGGCAGAGGCCCAGGTCTGTGGGCCTCTCGTTATCAGGAGACTCCGTTTTCATCCTGTGCCATCATTTTCTCTTCATCTTTCCCTCTTACGCAGATCTACGTGGAGAGCGGAAGCCCAAGCTGATCTGAGTGAGTACCAAGAACTGTGCCTTTTCCTCCTCACCCTCCTTCCCAGCCCAGCTCCGAACCTGCCAGGTGGCGAGTTTTTAACCGAAAATCAAAGGGAATTAACCTGATCCCAAGCTCAACGTGTATGTGTGATTTTTAAATTCCACTTTTTAATTTTTTTCTGATTATAAACTTAACATAATACAGGTATGTTGTTAAAAAAAAAAAACTGAAATTTCCAAGTAGTAAGTGAAATACTTAAAATAATGATATTTCCATTAGGAAAGGAAAATGTAATTGAAATTAGTTTGAAAGGTTGAATGAAAGTGGATATTTAATAAAGGATCACGAAACTTACTCTGATCCAGTCACTCCGCTGAAGAACTCTGCCTGCGTTGCTCACTGGTCCTCCCAGCACCCGGGAGCGAGGCTCAGATTATCCCCATTTTACAGATGAGGAAGCAGAGGCTCAGAGGTTAGGCAAGTGGTGGAACCATCTCCCAGCCAAGTCTCTGTCTCTCAAACAAAGGCTCTTTCCACTGTTGTTGAAGCTGCACATTTCCTAAGCCTCAGGCCTCCACCCGTCTTCTCTATCAGTGCCACTTCTCATCCTGTCCTCCTTCTGGAGGGCCGGGGTTCAGGCAGAAGCCTGGGGATGCTGCCACCGCGAGTCAGCCCTAAGCGCAGGTGGCACGGAGCAGTGGGCCCGTCTGCCTGTCTCCCTCCATGGATCACGTGCATGACACGTGGACAGCCCATTGCATGAATTCCCATTGTGACCTTTTCTCACTTGAAGGCTGTGACAGCCCTCAGTGCCTGTCACAGAGTAAAGGCTCGGTAAACGCGGGGACGCGAGCTCTGAGCGGGGCTGTCCTCCTCCTCCTCCCCCACAGTCTCTCTGCCACGCCTGGTGGACCTGGACTGGAGAGTGGACATCAAAACCGCCTCCGACAGCATCAGCCGCATGGTGGTCCCCACCTGCCTGCTCCAGATGAAGGTACGGCCATCGTCATCCTCACTAGAAGGACAGGAGGGCGGCAGCGACTGGCACCCCCAGGGGCCATGGGAAATGCCAGGGTTCAGGGCTCTCTAGCTCCATAAGTAAAAAGCTGCCCCCAAACACGGCATTGATTTACGAAGTATATGTGTAGTGACATAGACATAATATGTCTCATGATGCGCTGGGCAGGGGCTCCTGCTGGCAGTTGGAGACGGGTCCGTTCATTTTCTTGTTTCCGCGCTCTTGCCTCATTGGTGTTATCTTCACAGTTCTTTCCAGGAATCTTTTAAAGCCACGGACCCATTTTAAGGGTTTGTTTGGGTAAAATTAGATAATGGAATACTGTATTTACTTAACCAGACACCCAGAAACTCAACACCTGAAGAAAATGAGAACGTAAGGGTGCCTCTAACAATGACGTTTTTAAATATTAGTAAAGCTTACTGTTTAAGAAAGCTATCAACATAAGTACAGGTCGTAATACAGCGGTGGGCAGAGGTAGCTGGCGGTTGTTCGTATGGAACGAAACATGCAGGTTAGGATTATTGCAGTCGCTTCATTAACTCGGGGAATGGCAAGTGGCACAGTGCACTTGGGTGCGTGAGTGCTCCGATTGCCTGCCTTTATTTACACGTCCTCGTAGTCGACTTGCTATGCGCAAGCACACAGTGGCACAGAGCTCCTTATGAACCTACTCCTGCCCACCCCGGATGTTCCCTGCATCCCACTGGGTTCTCACGGACCCCTAGAGCCCGTTGCGTGAATTGTCAGTGTGAACACGTGACGTTTTCCCACTTGAAGGCTGAGTGAGAGTCAAGTGAGCCTCGGCTTCCCCGATTCCTGCCCTGAGCACTGGTGGCAAATGGAAACTGACCCCCAGCCTCGGAGCCATCGCCTTCCTCCTCCCCAGTTGCTGACTGACTCCAGGGCTAGGACAGTGTGGCGAGCCGGCACGGCCATGGCATACTCAGCCCCAGGGCACCTTATGTGCCATGCCAGCTCGGCCTGGTTTAGTGATCCTGAGTGGGGGCTTGAAGGATTGAGAAAAGACAGACGAGAAGGAAAGCTGGGTCTCGGTGGGATGCTGCTCCCGGATGGAGGGACAGCGCCAGCGCCCACAAGCCGTGTCTTTATTTTATAGCAGATGCCACGAGGCAAAGTAAGGGCATGATCAAGATGTTTACAACATTCTCGTGGGTTTCAATCCTACTCAACTACGTGCACCTGAACTCTATCAAGCCCATATTACTCAGGTGCGTGGGGCCACGTCTTCAGACCATAGGTTCAAGCTTACACCTATAGCTGTTGGCTATAATTGTGCTGGGAGGGCTCTGCCCTCCAAGCTGGGACTTGCACGTGGCAATGAGGCCTGTGCCCTCTCAGTCCAGGGCTTGAACCTGTCCAAAACCCTGTAGCCGTGCCCCACAGGACAGTCGCTCTGAGCAAAGAGCCTCTCAGAGGTTCACTTGATGGGGGTGGGGCTCCCGGGTCCAGGGCTCACCTGCTGGGCAGTAGGAGGTGAGACGGCGATGACTTCGGGGCTGTGTCTCTTTCCAGATCAAGGAAGATCCCAGTCTGTGCAGGGACAGCCCTTCTGTCTCAGCTGTCACCATGGAGCTGAGCAAGGAAACGCTGGACACTATGTTAGACGGGCTGGGCCGCATCCGGGACCAGCTTTCTGCCGTGGCCAACAAATGACGCCGCCAGCCGCCGGCCCCACTGCCTCACCCCGGCTGCTGCCAGTGATGGAGCATCTCCCGACTCCACTGACACCAGCGACTCAACTGACACCAGCGGGCTGCCCTGGTGGCAGCAGCTGCAGCCGACAGTAGGCGGGCCAGGCGGGCCGGGGGACAGAGGGGGCTGCCATCCGAAGGCACAGCTGCACTGGAGGACGCAGCCACGCCCCACGCTGTTCTCCTCACTCATCTTCCTCTTCCCAGGCTGGTGGGCAGAAGCCGCCACCTTAAGGCTCCTGCGTGCACCTGAGTAACCGCCGTGGCCATGTGGGGGCGCATGAGCCTGTCAGCGGCCCTGTGGCCGCTTGAACATTCGGGCCCCGTTGGGGAGCTCTCTCGTAAGTTCCTTTCCAGCACCAGCTCTGATGAGTGCATTCCCAGTCCTGGGACACAGGAAGGGGGTCAGGTGGTGGGTGCCAGTGGCTCCTGCTTCTCTGTCCGAGAGGCCAGGCAGACCCCACAGAGCAGGGTCCCGGCAATGTGGCCGCCTGCCCTGAGGCCAGAGCCTCCTGTTGGCGCAGGAGGTCTGAAATGGGGGCTGAGTCTCTTCACGAAGCTGGGCCCCATCCTTGGATCATGCAGCCCCTCCAGGGTGGTGAAGTGGAAGTGATGGGAATAAACAACAGTTCTGAAAACAAACCTCTGATTCTGTGCTGAGCCTGAGTTCATTGCCTTGGGCTGGGGCTGCCTCCTGTGTGAGGGTGACCCCAGCTTCCTAATTCCCAGCCAAGCCCATGACCACATGTGACCTGAAGCCACAGGGACCCTCCCTACCTTCCGTGTGCCTGTGTGTCCCATAGAGCAAAGGCAAGGTTGGCAGTGTGCTTGTCACAGCTGTGATGAAAGCACCCCTTAGGCAGTGGTTCTCAACCTTCTGGCCCTTTAAATACAGTTCCTCATGTTGTGACTCAACCATAAAATTATTTTCGTTGCTACTTCATAACTGTAATGTTGCTACTGTTATGAATCGTAATGTAAATATCTGATATGCAGGATGGTTTTAGGCGACCCCTGTGAAAGGGTCGTTCGACCACCAAAGGGGTCGTGACCCACAGGTTGAGAACCGCTGCCTTAGAGTCATCTGACACGTCATAGGAGTCAGTGCGTGACCCGCCCCCCTTCTGGATCGCTCCCCTAGCAGCAGCCTGCTATCCCAGTGCTTCACTGTGGCGCAAGCATGTCAAACTCACAGCTGGAGGGCCACATGCTTGCTGTGGTGGCTTCTGGGTGGTGTGGGTGGGGGAGGGCGGGTGGAGGAGAAGCCAGGTTAAGAGACCGACAGGCAGCAGGGGTGGGAACCAGGTCCACTTCTCTGTGGCAAGGGCTTGACCTCAATCCTCCCAGTTCCCAGTATTTAAAATTAAATGGGGATAATTATGTTACCTACCTGCAGGGCTTTTGTGAAGATTAAATGACAAGGCGCCTAAAAGCACCTAGCACTGTTGTGGCAAATAGGAAGGCTGCACCGTGCCAGCTCTGGTTGTTAATGGCAGGAAAGGAGAAAGCCCTCCACTTTCACTGTTTCATCTGCTATCACAGCAGGTGTGACAATGTTCTCATCCTCCCTTTGTCGGTGCAGAAACCCGCTCATCGCTCACCGAGGTTAAGTCACCTGCTGGTAAATGGCCTCGTTAGGACTTGGGCCCAGCTTTCTCCAGCTTCCTCGGCCGCACAGCACTCTGCATGGGCCACAGAGCTCAGTGGCTTTGGCTCCATTGGGAAAACGGGAGCTGCAGTGGAGGTGAGCAGTCCTCCCGCCTGGGGAGATACCAGGTGAGAAGTCGAGGAAGGGTCCCAGGCGCCTCTGTCTGCTGGCTCCTGGGAGCTGAGCTCCCTTCTGTTCAAATGGCAGTTCCGCACCCCGTGGGGCCGAACCACTGACAGTCCGATGCAAGCTGGGGGGTCCTTCCTGCGGGAAATGAACATGTTTTTTACATCAGCGACGAGTTCATGGACCGGGAAGGCGGCCACTATTCCAGGTTGAGAGCCTTGTGAATTCATTCCCCTGTTTTTCTCCCACTCCCTCTGACCCACAGAAACCTTCAAATCCTGTCCTGTGGGCCTCAATAAAAGACTAACCGGAAGCAGGAGCCTAGCATCGGTGTCAGGAGAGCTGGGCATTCCTTTAGCCAGGTCCTGCTGAGAGAGCCATCTGGGTGCATGGGAGACAGCGGGCACCAGTCACTGGGCCAGTCAGTAAATGTTCGCTACCCTTCACCTCACACGCTCATTTAAAGGGTTTGTTTTCCACCTTTGGGGAAGATGGATAGTAGACGATATTCCTGGTTGGCCTGACCCTCATAAAAACCTAGCTTCTACCCAGCCACCTGACGGGATGATCATTTCCGTCACAAAGGGCCACACGGGGGCGGGGGGTGGGGGGGGTCGGGTTGGTCAGGAGGCAGAGGGGGCGAGGGGACAGGCCTTTATTGGGGTCTTCTCAGGAAGGAATGGGTAAACTTAGGATTGGCTGGTTTGAATAATGTGGGTGGGCTCTGGGCTACAGGAGTGTTCCTGGTTGTCCAGTGCCTTCGCCTCCCCTTTCTGGTGATTTTCAAGGCCAAAGACATTGACGTCAGGACCAGACATTCGGGTCTTTCCCACACCAGTTCTCTAAACACACACAGTGGGCACCACGTCCAAAAGGCATTAGTCAAGCTCTGTGGTTTGGTATTTGCAAATTTCCAGGAAGCTCGTCCAGTGTGGTGTAACGGGCCCTCCCTAACTTTGTTCCTAAGCTGAGATGGTATCAGAAATGAGAGAGGGTTTTTGTTACTTTTATAATGTATGTATTTTTACTCTAGAAACCATTGGCTACCTGGCAATTTGAAAGTTTTCCAGTGGTTGATCATTTACAAGAACTATTTGAACCTGTAACTGCTGACTTCCAAATACTGATAATTCCTAAACATTCTCTTACCTGCATGGGGTTGACTTTTGTGCAACTTCCTTCTTTAGTGCTCACATGTCTGTGCTTTAATTGTCCTTTTTACAACTGCTTCAAGCCAGAAAAAAAAAATGGTTTCCTAGTAGTATTCCCTGGTTGGTGACAGAGGACCAGAATCCCCCAGGAGAGCGGACCATTCTTCCTTTGAGGAAATGTTAAGAGCTCATAGAGGGAAGTCTTGAGCTTCTATTAGCCGTGGGCTCTTGGGAAAGACTCTGATGGGTTTTTAATGCCTTGTCTGTGAGTGGAGATAAGATATCTGCTTAGGTAATGCCTGCCATAGATTTACAGTCAAGTAGGAAGTAGACTCCTCCACTGAAGAATGGGATGTTCTTGGCCGCTGGCATCAGCATTGCACTAGCCATACGACCGTGGACACGTACCACACGGTGAAGTAAAGTACATCCCAGCAAGTTGAACGGCAAACGACTTGAGAGCTACTCTGGAAAGCCCCTGAGAAAGCTCCTACGCCTCCAGGCTTTCAGCTTCTGGGAGTGAGCGTCACGGGGCCACTGATTTCACTGCTTCAACAAAAACCCAATTTCCACGGTCTGGAGAATTTAGTTTCTCTCTCACATAGATGTCTGGGCTGGTGGAAGGTTTGAGTGGGTCGGATGGTTCTGCTCCGGGGGATGGTCCATGGACCCAGGTTCTCTCCATGGTGTTGCCTCACCAACCACCAGGTGCCGCCCTCATCCCTGAGTAAATTCTGCTCATCACTCTCTGAAACGTCCCATTGGTCGCAATCACATGGCCAATATTTAGCTGCAAGGTAGGTTGGGAAATACATTCTCTGGCTGGGCAGTCAGTCACCTGTCTGTCTAGCCACAACACACAAGGTGGGGAAGTGAGTGAGACTCATTACTAAAATAAAGAAGAGAATGGATAGTGAGAAAAACTGACATGGCTTCATGGATCAGTTGCTTTCCTGAGACCAGGTTTCATGGAAAAAGAGAAGAGAAGAGAAAGGCTGCCTGGATGTGGCTGTGGGTGTGGGTGCAGTGGTGGTGGATGTTTCTTGAGGCTGAAGACCAGGTCTCCCTAACTTGGTACCCACAGGAGCTAGCACGGTGCCTAGCACACAGTAGACTTCCCAATAAAGGTTCACTGGTGTCCTACCTTCCACAGACCCACACAGGATTTGACCTGTATTAGTAAGTGATGGTTGAATGATATCGAATTGATCAGAATGGCAGATCAATGGAATTAACATTGACTTGACTTGCTTGTTGTAAATCTACCGCAGCAGTGCCTTTTACCCTAAAAAATTTCATTCAACACATGCAGAGGGCACCGGCCAGGTGACTCAGTTGGTTAGAGCATCATCCTGTATACCGAAAGGGTTGTGGGTTTGATCCCTGATAGGGTGCATATGGGCGGTAACCAATCGATGTTTCTCACATAGATGTCTCTCTCTCCCTTCCTCACTCTAAAATCAGTAAACATATCCTTGGGTGAGGACAAACAAACAAGCCAAACAAACAACAAAACACCTGCAGAGGGACCTGGTGGCTGGGCCCGAATTCACCAACCCAGGACCATGCTCCCGTCTCGCCACCATGCTTCCCAGCCTTCATTGACTCCAGGTGTGCGGAGTGGGGATGGCTGCTCACAGCAGTCTCCCAACCACAGGAGTGTCACCTGGGCAGGAGGAGGCAGGGATGGGAGCCCTGGGGGAGGGTAGGAGGTTGATGGCGAGGAGCAAACATCAGCATGCCGAGCTCCTGTCCCTATTACAGAGACCAGCATTTCCAAGGGGCCAGCGGCGTGAAGGTGCCAGTTCTCCCCGACTCCCCGAGAGGCAGGCAAGGAGAAGGTAGGCTGGGCCAGGGGAGGGAGGCAGCACGCACTTCCGGGGGCCCTCTCTCTGGAGTGTGTTCCCTTAATCCTGGCTTAACTGCTGATCACACCTCTGGATTCAGGAGCGGCCCCTACCAGGGACCTAGAACATCAACTTGATCGCCTGTCTTCTCAGCCTGTGTTGCCCCCGTCACTCCTCTTACCACTGCATTGTAATTGGCTATGTATTACCTTCTCACTGCTCACCTGAGTGCTCAGGTAATAGGCAGCCCTGAGGGCACCATTTCCTGCCACCAGCTGAGATGGGTTCTGTTCCCAGGGTGACTCCTAGAGAAGAGGTCACTTGCCATATCCTCGTTGGTGACTCAAGTTCTTCTTATGCCCAAAAGCCACACAGGAAGGGAAATCTCCGCCTGCTCCTCACCCGGGCGCAGCTGGCGCTTGCCCAATATGCCCAGCAGGTGGCGCCATTGCTCTCCTTATCCTCCACCCTGGCCTAATAGGGCAAACAAAGACCAGGAGCTAGGCACCTGGTGACTCTCCTAGGACCCCTGGCGAGAAGAGGAAGCCCCCAGGCCCAGGCCCCTCCTCTACAGAACTCCCCCCCTCTGGCCCAGAGCAACCAAAGGAGAGAGAAGGAGGGAACTGGAGGCAGGGCAGGCCCACTGAGGGAGCCATGAAGCCTGCTCCTAGGCTGAGCTCTGGAAGCACCCACTGTCTCCTCAATTGCTTCCTGGCTGGGTAATGGGTGCCGGGAATCCCACCACTGAGACCCGTTAGATACGACTCTTCTAGGTGAGGTTTTATTGGCAGCAACCCCCCAAGTCCAAGGCTCGGCTCACAAGGCCTTGTACTGTGTGACTTTCTAGCTATACTGTTTAAATAAAGATTC